CCAAACATCTGAATGGACTAAAGTAAAAGGTGACTCTGCTCGATTATCAAGACGTCGAGGGAAATAGGAGCGAGTATGCTTACCGAGCTGACATGAATCACACTCTAGAGCTGACAAGTGAGATAAACCAGATATCATTTTTTGAAGTTTTGACAAACTGGGATGTCCCAACCGTTTATGTAATAAATCTGGTGAATCAGTAACAGGACAAGTTGTTGAAGGAAGACAAAATGTGAGTCTATGTGATTTAGCAAGGATAAGGTAATAAAGTCTGTTTGATTTATGCCCGGTACCAATGATCAATAAACCTGGTGAATCAATAACAAGACAAGTTGTTGAAGGAAGACAAGATGTGAGTCCATGTGATTTAGCAAGGATAAGGTAATAAAGTCCGTTTGATTCACGCCCGATACTAATGATCCGCCCCGTACTGTGTTCCTGTATAAAAACATGGTCATCAAGAAATAAAACAGCGCATTTAAGTGATTTGGCTAAGCGACTAACAACTATGAGATTAAAAGGGCTATTGAGAACATAAAGGACTGAATCTAAAGGTAAGGAAGGAAGTGGGCTTGCTTGACCTATTGCAGTTGCCATGGTTTGAGACCCATTAGCCATTGTGACTCTTGGAAGAGATTGAGAATACAAAATAGTAGTGAAAAGAGATTTGTTACCAGAAATATGATCCGATGCACCTGAATTAGTGACCCAAAACTCAGAGGATGAAGATTGGGAGAAACAAGTCACGCTATTACCTGTTTGAACAACAGAAGCTATCTCAAAAGATGTCTGCTTACATGCTTTGTACTGAAGGAACTCAATAAAATCTGCTAAAAGAAACCATCCGACTATTCAAAGTATCGGTTCCCATGTCGCTACAATTTGTAGTAGGGTTAACTTGAAATAGTGGAAATAAGTAACTCCTGTGAGAAAACTGAAGAAATAGCTGGGAAAATACTGTTTACAGCAGAAAACAGGAAACTATTTTACGCCGGAAACACTTTAGCTCGCCGGAAAATTGTAAACTTGTCGGAATTTGTCGTAACCAGGATGGATAGACTCGGAATTCCCTTGCGAGCAAACTGTGCTGAAGAAATGTTTTCAAAAAAATAATGGCCGGAAAGGTCTGTTCACGCCGGAAAAATATAAAAGTGGTCGGAATTTGATTTGAATTAGATGAGTAGGCTCGGAATTGTGAGGAGAGCAGACTGACCTGAAGAAGTTTCGCGAAAAAATGGCCGGAAAGTGGCCTGAACCCTCGCCGGAAAAGTTGCTATTGTCGGCGCGTGGAGGTGTGTGGCAGCTTTTCTGCCGGATAAATTTTAAGGGGTTGGTCGTCGGAGGGTTATCTACCTAGTGGTGGTGTTGGTTTTAGCACAACACCGACAGAAAGTGACTTTAACGTAGACATGTCTTAGGTCACCGGAAAAATTGCACGATGACTAAGTTCTTTCTTCCCGGTTAACGCTGGAATGACGCACAACGATCTTTTCTCACTAATGCTCTGATACCATGTGAGAAAGTACGAGACAATATATTATTGATCTTAGATACTCAATATAATACAAGAGGTCCTATTTATAGCTATAGTCTACAAAGTACATATTACTCCCATTCCAATGTGGGACTACACATAACTAACATAACCCATTAAATTTGAGCATTTAACAAGCTGATCTACATGCATCTGTTCTTTTTGGATTGGTAGGCACACATAAGATGGAGTCAAATTATAAAGTAGACCAGAGAGACTAGGAAAGAAAGATGTAATCTAGATTAGTGCAAACACTTTGACTTGAAACTGGTACTCTCTCTCTTTGTTCAAAGATAAATGTTGGACTAATGAGTTCTGATAATAAGAGACGTCATAATCCATTTTTCTGTATCTTGTGATGAGTTAGGATTAAAGTTGTCCAAAGCAGTAAAATCTTGTGCTAGATGTAGGGTCCTGGAATTTTATACCCTCCTCTAAACCAGATACGCACTTAATTGCAAGTAATATTCGTACATTCGTTCCAATTCGAATTGATATTGTGTTTTTCTCTTTAAGCTGTATCAAATTTGATTTTCATTTCCTAAAATGGAATATCTTGCACCTTATCACAAATTAGCAGTTCGCATACGTTATCCAACCACTCAATAAACCAAAAGTAGCATATCGCCTCACTTTTAGACCCCCTTGTAATATAATTAACAATATTTTTTACTCTGGAATAAATATTTATTCCAAGTCAATATTTTTCTTCTGGAAATCCTATTAAGTTAAACCATGACATTCAATATTAATTGGAAAATAAATGATAATTGCAAGATTACAGTGAGGAAGCAGTCTTCCTTTGTTATCTTTATAAAAGACTAATTTAGTGTTCCCAGTACTATGTCCTTTTCTCATGGTCTCTGGTAATTGATTATTTTCTCGTTTATTCTTCTTGTTGTGGTCTTTTACCATTGCTGTTTGATGTCTTCTCCAAGGCATCTTTACTTACTATTGGTTGGTTGACCTCTTTCCTGTAGCTTTCTCTCCGACGAGTTAAACAGCATCTTTTGCTCTACTGATTGATCTTGTTTGTCTGCTGAAGCTAACTTGTATTATCTTTTCATTATTTGATGGATTTGGACATCATGGTGCCATCATATAGTTTTCCCACTATGCTCACACCAGGCTATATAGCTAACCCTGCTTTTAGAACTGATTGGACGAGCCAGTTAAGCTAGTCAACTGGATTCAGACCCTTGCTCCTTTTAAAATTTATGGTTTTGTGAGTTAGGCATCTCTCACTCGCTATGCAGACACTCCCTTGGAAACGAATGTAGCCGGAAAGCATCTGGATTCTGGAGTATACCGTGAACGGAGATGATGTTCGCACTTAGAAGAGTTATTTATATGTGCAAACAATTCCATATATGGAACAAATTACCTTGTCTTCATATACCAAAAAGGCTTAAAATCCAGCTCTAGCAAAGTACAACAACTAACTTCAGGATGCACTAAATGAAAAAAAAGAAAGAAAAAGAAACATGCACCTAACGAAGCCACTGGATGAGGACCTGGCGGTCCATTTAGTACCTTGCTTGATGGATTCAGTTGTTCACATTCAGACTCACAATAATCCATTTGATCATAAGAAGGGTACGAACAAAAGCAATTTGATCATAGAAATGCGGATGTTGGGATTGATATGCATTCATACAGGAGTAGGAGAAGGTACAAGTAGCATGTATAGATGGCAACAATATTTCACTCATCAGCATGTGAAAAGAATTGACCCTGTTGTCTTTGGATTCCACAATACAAGGTTAAACTGTCTTTCACATTAGAGTGCCCACTGATGTTGGACTTGGCTTGATCACTTTTGGGCAAAGGGCAGCCCGGTGCACGAAGCATCCCCGTTCACGCAGGGTCCGGGGAAGGGCCGCACCCCAAGGGTTGTGATGTAGGCAGCCTACCCTGATGCAAGCATCAGTGGCTGATTCCACGGCTTGAACCCGTGACCTATAGGTCACACGCCGTTGCTCCAAGGTTCCCTTCTGGCTTGATCACTTTTGGGTCTCACAGAAATGCTGCTACTCATTGGTTTTGTTTAGCTGATTAATGTAGGATTTGTTTGAGTATTCTGGTGATATAGATCCATTCTAGAGTTACTTTTATTTGAAATATGGTTATTTTACACCAAAAATTGGGAGGGCAGTGAGTTCTGAAGTAAGTGTAGCAAGATATTCAGACCATGAGATCCTGACTTGAAATGCGTAAGCCTAAGCATCCTGATGAATTCATATGTTGTGCCCGTCAAGCTTTAGTACTGGTTTTCTGGAGATCACTAGCTTTGGTGTGTGTTTGATTTTCTATATTCAAATCATTTGTAAGGTAATTCTGTTTTAAATTTTTCCAGGACAAGGAAAAGGTTTCCAAGTTTGTTAGATGGGCTACTTTAATTGCTTTGCAGCCAAAGATTGAAAATATCCACGGGCCGGAAAATTTTGCTTGCATTGTGAGACTGCAAGCTGAGAAAGAAACAGATGATTCTCTGATATCAAAGCTTGTTCGCTGGCTGGCTGCATCAGTGATTGTAGGAAAGCTTTCCCTCAGATTCAGTAATTCGGACTTGTGTCATTCCTTTGACAGATCTAAGCTCAATAACCTGCTTTCTATGATGGAATGGAATGAGAAAAGATGTGAGGAAACCAACAGGGCATTTGCATGTGAAGGAACTTTGGCCTTATCCATCTTTTTTCTGCAACAGCTACAATGCACAAACTATATAGTACTTCCATCTGTTGTTTCTGCACTCAGTCTGCTGCTTTTATCTAGTCTTTCCTCAGCAGGTAGACTCATAAGCTTATCAATACTGCTTTCTTCACTTAGACAACTTCCTGTTTTTCACACTAATGGCCGACTTGTTTATTATGCTGCTGTTTGACAGAAACAGACATCTTAGCTGGCGATGCAGTACAGTTGGCAACCCTCTGCTCAAAGATTAATTGCCCTGCTGAAGCTAATCCTGCCTGGAGATGGTACATATACCGCTCTCTGCATTACTTTCTAGAACGAAAAAGGGCCAAAACCACCCCTGAACTATAGGCTTAGGGCCAAAAATACCCTTCGCCCACCTCTTGAGCTAAAATTGCCCCCAATGTTATCTTTTCGGCTCAACTTTACCCTTATGACTAATGGCCCACTCCAAATTTAAAAAATATTTATTTAATTATTACATGGCAACTTCTTATTGGCCCATATTAGAACACTGACCCCATTAAAAATCCCACCCATATGTAAAGATCCATGACCCATACCTGGTTTTAATGAAAAACCTCAGCATCTCTTTTCCTAAACACATACGTGCATCTTTTCTTTCTTTTCTAGTTATGGTTCTGTAAATTCCCCCATCTCCTTTTTCTTGTGCAACTGATTCATTTGCTTCAATTTCAAAAAGGGGACAGTTGAAAACAGACCATTTCGGTTGAAATTTTTTAACTGGAATATGAAAGACTCAATTTTTGACGAAAACTGAAACCAGGATTGAAGATTGAGAAATGCGGATCGATCTGTCAGTGGCTATTGAAATTTGGATGGACAGTTGATTTGTTTCTTGATTGGTCAAGTATGTAGAGTTCAATCACTTTAAGTTAGAAGATTGAAGTTATGTAAAAGGAGGATAGCTGAGAATTGAGGATTGAGATCTGGCAAAAAATAAAATCAGGTTAAAAGAAGAAGAAGATGCATGTATGTATTTAAGAAGAGGAGATGTTGGGGTTTTTCATTAAAACCGGGTATGGGCCAGGGATCTTTACATATGGGTGTTTTTTTTATTAATAGTGTTAGTGTTTTATTGTGGGCCAACAAGAAGTCGCCACATAATAATTAAATAAACATTTTTAAATTTGGAGTGGACCGTTAGTCATAAGGGTAAAGTTGAGCCGAAAAGATAATGTTGGGTGCAATTTTAACTCAATAGGTGGACGGAGGGTATTTCCTAAGCCAATACTTCAGGGGTAGTTTTGGCCCTTCTATTTTCTAGAAATACACTTTCTTTCTGGGGAGAAAAATGAAAAGAAATCAAAAATACTAACCCACCACCCCCGTTGAGGCGGAACAATTGACTGGACATCTAGGGGTAAAGCACTGTTTGTCCCCTGGGTTCTGCGAATGCCAACATGATGTACTTCCGCTAGCCTTTTGAAGTTTCCTACTTGTGCTTTGGGAGATGGCCTCTCATTGTTAAATCTCCTGCTGGTGTGTAGAAATATGTACACCTCGAGAATTCCTCTAGTGCTTGTGATGTCTATGTTACTCCATTCTCTTTCTAGACTATTACTGGCCAGTCCAAAGACTCTGAAGACTGTTAGTAGAGCAATACGCAGGAATTAACAAAGCAGAACCTTGTCTTATGTGAAACCTCTTTTTACGTCTTTTTATTTCCACCAGCTGATGTTATAGAGTTGGGATTTATTTCCATAAACATTACACTCCACTAGTGTAAATTCTTTTCTTTCAGGGTCTAGGTTTTCCAAATCATAAGTTCTCCTATCAGTTTTTTCTGTCTGTGCCCATCACTGAGCTCTCTCTCTCTCTCTCTCTCCATTCCCCGTAGAGAATCTGCAGATGAATATGGGGTCATTGCATAAACAAACTAAGCAATATCATGGAGTAGTTCAAAACAATTAAGGACAAGATGCTTAAATGATTTGATTTTCGCAAGGTGATGGGGTTTTATTATGTCTGGATTTTATGAGAGAAGTTACTTCAATAAACTTATAGGCTGGTATTTCTTTGATAATGGACAAATTCCCGGGGCCAGTGGCACACAATTAGAGACTTAGTAGATAAACGGCCTACCCCTCTATCCTTTCCACTTAAATACCAACTTTTTGTCGCAGCATGTTTGAACCCGTGGCATGCGCCTAACCCACATCATGCACAGTGCTCTTACCAACTATACCAAAGCCCCGGGACAAGAAACTGCAAATAACCAAGTAGTTCAACGAATTTATAGGCTGGTAGGTTTTTTTAAAGAATATATAGGCTGGTATTTTCTTTTTCCCAATTTACCCTTTTCTGATAATTAACTGCTGCTTTGAGATACATATATGAAGTGCCATATTTGATGTTACTCTTTGTTGAACAGGTCATTTTACCAACCATGGAAAGATCATTCTTCTGAGCTCACTGATGCAGAAAAATTGGAAGAAAATCAGGCTTGCGAAATGCTTCTTGTTGTAATTTCAAAGTTGCTAGGAAGAAATTCTTTATACTCGCAGTTCTTTTCCTTCCAGGATTTAGAGAAGTTGTGCGTCTTTGACTGGGAGAGAAGTATCCTTAATTCTCAGTAATTCTTTTAGTATTATTTATTTGATTAATTTAATCCCATAATTTGGTTAAAATCCGTGGCATTTTTGCTGATTCATCACTCGTAGAGCTAATTTCTTATTTCCACCAAGCTTAAGTTAACCAACACAATGCAGTTGGTGTTTCTTTTCCTTTTGATCTTCATTCATACTTTTGTATATAATATGTACTAGATATATTCAAGGTGTATTTCTTATTCTCCTTTATAAAAGTAAAATCACACTCAGTGCAACTTTTTCTCCTTTATAAAGTTTCTGCAAATTTTATTTTTGTGAGAACTTGTTTCAGATCTGTAGCATGGTCAAAGTTCAGAGCTTCAGATAAATTATTATGCGTTTCACTATTCAGAGCTTCACTTATAAATTATTATGCGTTTCAAAGTGAGTGAGTGTTCGTTAAATAGTAAGAGGAGAACTGAGTATAATATGGTATACTTTCCGTAGCTCCAGCAGATTCAGTTGCAAATGTCACCATGAGCTTCCAAAGTAGTATGTCTGGTTATTCATCTATTTACAGTTTACCCAAATTCTTGGTTTATTTCTTTATCACACTGGTACAGTTTGTTAGGATGGTGCTGTAACCAACGTCCACGTGATCTAGATTATGCTTACACTCTTTATATTCAGTTGTAGTTCCCATTTAGCTGCATGTTGAATGAAATGAAATCTCTTTTTCTCTTAATTTTTCGTGTAATTTCCTGTTTTATTCTCTGTTCTAGAGAAATCTTTAGTTTTCATGGCGATTCCAATCTGGGAATCATAATAATTTGTATCAAACCTGACGTTTCTCGGCCGTGATTCCGCCGCGATGCATCATTCACTTTTACTATCATTCACCTCAAGTCTTAGCTACCACAGCTCTTCCTGAGGTCCATCTCCATGGTTCACCAAGTTCAATGATGGGCCTGTGAGCCAGCAGATTTCAACAAATCCGAATTTTAACCTGACACCCTATGGTGTTGAGAATTACAGTGGTGGGTTTTATCAGTATTCATACGCATTTGAGTTTAATGGTGTGATGTTTGGATCCATATGCATATCACTATTGCAATGCAGGTCTCAATCTCCATTCAAATTCCTATGGCTTTGAGATTATCTCAGCAACCATGGGTATTTAACGAGATCCTCTTCACAAAAGACGTGCGACTGGTGACAAGAAAAAAGCTTGGAGGAAGAAGCGCAAGTATGAACTTGGCCTCAAGTAACAAGACAGTCAAACGAGTTTGTGTGCATGGTGGCAAAATGAAGTGGAGGGCACTGAGCTTGGATTCTGGAGTACTTGAGAGCACAAGGTTGTTGCCACTGAGCTTGGAACGAAGCTGCAAATATCGCTGGAGTTTGGGCTTAAAAGTGCTCATCAGGTTTTTGAAATTGATCCAAATAATAAGAACACAGGGAATTGGGTGAAGGACGTATTAGTCGAGACCAAAAACAAAGATGAGGAAAATCCTGAAATTATCGAGCACCAGCTGTTTGATGAATTGCCTCAACAGAACAAGACAGAATGGCTGGTTAAGCTTCAGGCAACAAACAAGAAGGAAGGGATAATGGTGGATGCGAGAAAATTTATCAGCCTATTACAGCCAATGTTACCAAAGAACTTTCTTTTGCTGTTATGCAGTACCCCGTTTCATTTTCTGATCTTGCGGACTCCAATTTCATAGGAGGTTCAGTGGAGGAATTGGTTGGAAATGACAATGAGAATTGCGACAGTGAAGATAGTTCGAGAATTGATCAATGGGTAATGTACTCTCTGTTGCGTTGTCTTTTGAGTTTTTCCCTTAACACTTTACTCTGTTTAAGTTGGTGGTGGGGTCAAAGAACTGAAGTGCGTAGTTGCCAGGTTGGGCAAAATAGATGAGTTTATGGTTGGTGGGGAACCTGATCACATTGGGGGACTTCCCAAAGGATTTTGGTCAGATAAGGAATTGAAGTCTATTGTGGTAAGCAGTAAAGCGATGGCTGACATAAGGGGTGTTGACGAGAGAACAAATGTGGGAAGGAGGTTGTCTACGTGTCTCCTGGAGGTATGCAAAACTTCCAGTCATTGCCTGTGTTTACTTCTCCAGTGGTACAACAAAGTGAAACCATTACAAACACCTTGAAGTACCTATTATCTCTTTTAGAATTTGATAACCTTTCTGTTTTTGGTCCTTTTTTATTCATTAAATACTTCAAAATGCGATGGAATTACTTGCTGAAGCCATGATATTCTATGGTTGCTTGCCATCGGGATGAGAAGAGGATATTCACTTTACAGTCAGCCTTGTGGGGTTAAACTTCCTTTGGTAATCTATTTTTTTAGTGATGTATGGAGTTATGATCATGAGGAATTTTGGTTGACTGTGAAGACATTCAAGAGTTTAATACCGGGATACATTGATGAAAACAACAAAAAAACGTTTTTAATGTTCTATTAATACCTTCAGGAGCGCAATACAATCTGGAGGACGGAGCAATTATTGTAAAAGTATCAAAGATTATGATGTAGATGTTGGTCTCTGGAGTTTGGACAATTTTATCATCTATTAGATGACCTCGAAGTTACCTTTGATCCTCGTGTGAGCATGTAATTTTTGCCCTATAATTAAATTACTCCTAAAAAATCCAAAAAAAATTGTCTATTAATTAGTGCTGATTTTTATAGAATTTTTATAGATTTTTCTCTATTCATTGTTTGTATAGATTTTCATAGAATTTTTATAGAATTTTTACAGATTTTTGCCCTCTTGCATTTTCTGATTGAGCCAAGTAATTCATGAAGGCCCAGTTGTGTTTCAGATCTGTGTAAGCCCAAGCTATACCCGACCCGGCCCCTCTTTAAATGCCTCTTTAAATGCCAAACGACGACGTTTCGTTTAGGGTTAATCTCAGTCGTCCATAATTTTGATCGGACGGCTCGGAACTGAATCTCCAAACCTCTTAAAACTGTCCTAAGAGAACGACCCCTACCCCAAAAACCTTCTCAGAACTCTCTTTCACCTCTCTATAGCCCCATTTTCCTCCACCGCCCGCTGCGCGCCAGAAATCGCCCACGGCAGCGGGCCACCACCAATCAACCCGAAAATTTCACCAGATGATCCTCGTCCCTTCCTCATTCCTAATCTCTTAACCTTGGCCTTTGAAACCCACTATAACTCGTCCAATAGTAGATCTAAAATTCAAAAAAAAAAACCATAATATGTCTTTTCTTGATTTCTTCTCAAAGACAACTCATTATGACTCGAAACCTATGTTGATCGATTGCTCTTGACGAGAGCAATCGATTGATGTTTTTTTGTTTATTCCGAGATCACCGTATTTTGGTCAACCGACCATTGACCGGCCAGAAGTCACTAACCCCGTTTGATTAAGAGCTCTGAGAAGGTATACTCCGACATATCTCTTTTCATTCCTTCTTTTTGTTCTCATCATTCCAGTTACACGTTAGTTTAGATTTTTTAATTTTTGTTAGTATGTTAATGAATGCTCTTAGTTTACACGGTTAATTAAGTGCTTTTCTCCTGAGTTATAGTATGTTCCATATTAGTCTAAATTAATTCATCAGCTTGACAAGTCGGTTGGGTGACAATTTGATTAATTATTGGAGTCTCAGTTTCATTCTCTTAACTACATAATGATTTAGTAAATTCATACCAAAATGCCTTAATTAGTTAGTTGATAATGAGCTTCAATGATTCTGTCAATGTTTCTTGACGAGCTTAAAACATAAAACAAAATTATGCTCGCTAGTCGAATATAGTATAATATAATATCGTATCCACATGGATTTGAGTTAAACAGTATTATCGTAGTTTGTAGCTAGATTGCTATCCAAGATGATCAACAGTTGAGAATTATGTAATTTAAAACTAAAATTAACTAAGAATCTAAAGCTAATTGACGAATGACACTTGAACAAAAGTAAGCAAGAAAGATATCAAGGGGAGAAAATAGGGGTTGATTGGGTAGGTGCAAGATAAATGTCTGGGATTTAACTCTAGTTAATTCACTTCTAATGTTTAAGTGAGTCTCTCGAATTCACTCAATTATTAGTTCAAATGTTTAGTAGAAACTCCTATCTCGATTAAGTCTCAACCTCACAATATGAACCAATTTAAGCTCAGTGAAGATATGCAAGAATTCGTAGTGGATTGGTCTTAGGAGAACCTCTCTCGATTATCCTCCTAACTAGGTCTAAGCAATAATTCAACTAGCCTCTTTCGATTACTAAGAAGATTAATGAATTCAACCAACAAGATAATGCAAAGATATCACAAGTATGCCTCTCTCGATTACATGAACATGTGAATATATATGCAACAATTAAAATACCCAAAATAATTCAATGCATAAAAACTAGAGTTAATATCCATAAACAAATATCAATACACCAAATCCATCAATCCCTAAAGAGAACTACTCCATAGATATGGAGTAATTTATCACAATTATACAGAAAAACATAAAGCAATCCAAACTCTTGTCTTGAGTGAGGATTGAATGATGAATCCCCTGTGCTTTCGCTTCTCCACCTCCTTCTTAGACTCCTTAGGTCTTAGATGTGTTCCAAAGTCCTAAAAATAACATTTTTAGATGTATTTATACCAAGTAGGGTCGGGCTCAAACAAAACCACCTTTTCCTACGCGAATTAGGAAAATTACTCTGTAAAATTTGTACAGGCTCTCCGTATGGGGCGACGCGCCAGGCGGGGCAGTAATGGAAAACTTCAGAGAGCTTTCACTTTTATAGGAGAAGGAATTTACATAGACGCGCCGCGCCATGCGTCGCCCCGCGCGCCGCGGTTGTACACTTTTCTCAGTGTCTTGCTTTTTTTGCTTCGATTTTGACATCCAGACGTGGTATTCGATCCCCGAACGTGATCCCGGCTTAATCCCTTGGGCTTTTACTAAGATTTCAAAGCTCCAAATAGCTCAAATTCATTCCGTAATATCTACATAGCTTGGAATCCTCCTACAAGGCATAAAATATACAATTAGTGCAGAACACTAGCAATTAAAGCTTAAACTCAATTAAAGTGCAGTAAATTAGAGTGCAATAAGCGACTAAACCACGAGATTATAGCCTACCATCAACACCCCACACTTAAACCATTGCTCGTCCTCGAGCAATCAAACTACACTTCATATAGACACAACCTTTTTAAACAACTCTCATAACTCATCAAACCAAGAATATTTAAAATAGATTAAGCACAATAACGTAACATCATAGCCTCAAAATTTGACTCAAACGTACCACGTATTTTTCACAACCTGTTCACTTACTCTAACATAGAGGTCAATGACATTACCTTCCTTCGTGAATCATGTACCCTCATACAACAATATAGAGTACTTCGACACACAATAAAAGTTAAGAACAATTAGGAACGCAAGATAGAAAGAATTCACTCACTCTCAGAAACAACATTCGTATGCCACAATAGATGCACCATATGCTTGCCCGTAGTGTACTACTCTACTAATGGAGTTCATTCAGTCAAGGATCAAGTAGGACTTTAATTGGTTGTAATGTAAGCTGCGGGATGGGTCAGATACATTTAGATATAAGAGTGACTACACCTCCCTAAGTACTTTAATACATACAATTTGCCTTTCAAAACCCCACACTTATGTCAAACCATAACTCCACTTTCACATCAATATATATTAACTCCCTACTTCTTTAAGCACAATTACATCAAGAGTTACCACTTATCAATGAATATTTTTCACAACAATACAATTATTTTTTCTTTTCCTATTCAATTCAAGTGGTTCTTACTTACTTTTTTTTTAAAAAACAAGTGCACCTTCCTCCTTAATTCATTAGTTCCACTCAAAAGCCAAACCAACAACCCCACACTTCACCTTTTGCAAAGTTCATATCAAATTCAAGTGCTCACGAGAGGTAAATGGTTCAAATATATGGTCAATTCAAACAATTGGGTGTTGATACCCAATTTTGCCCTCATATTTTTTCAATAGTATATATACTTTCAAAATAGCATTTTTACATTATTATTTAATTTATACGAGTCGTATAGGTATCTTCTATAATTTTTTAAACCTTTAAAATTGATTTTCCTGTATTTAAATTATTCAAATATTTATTAATTATCCCTTCAAATTACTTTGTGATGACATAATCATCCAAAATTATTATTTACATCCACATATATATTTCATAATATTTTTAATCCATTTATGTAATTATATTTGTAATTTTTGGCTATTTACATAATTTTGCAATAATAGCCTATACGCTATGCATAATTACATTTATTACATCATTCATGCTAAATAGCATTTTTATATTTTTATAATATTAAATTATTATTTTTAATCATTTTATTACATAAGTAATATTTTATTATATATTAAATATTTTTATAAATTATTTTTATTAACAATTTCTTGTGTAGCCTCAATTATACCAATTTTGGACCACATTAGTGGCCCAAACTCTTAAAATCCCTGGCCCAATTTCCCCAGCCCATGCCAAACGACCCCTTAATCTCAAACCCGGTCGGTACCCATTTAAACGACTAGCCCCACTCCCTTTTCGATCCTGGCCGTTGATCTCAAATGATCAACGTCCATAGTAATCCCCCCACATCTCCTTATATCCCCATAACCCAAACCCTAGACCTATTTCATCATTTTTTTCCGCCTTCAAACCCTCCCCATCATCTCTCAAACCTAAACCCTAGCTGCCTCACTCAAATCCCAGTCCCAATCCAATATTACATGGAAATCGTCCATGATTCCTTTCCTTTCTTGCACACATAGAGATGCCTACCATCTTTTAAATGTTACAAGTATTTGGTACTCGATTATTTATGGAAGCTGAGTCGTTGGTGTTCGCTCAACTCTGATTCTGTATTATCTTCATGTTTCTGACCTGATACACTCACTACCAGGCCCTATATGTCTGATTCAGTAAGATTTTTTGCCATTTTTGTTCTTCATCTAAACTAAGGTTTGCCAGATTCGTCTTAAATTGATTCTAATTGATTTTCCATGTTATGTTTTCCTTATTCGTGTTTAATCGATTGTTTTTCCTTGTTTGGGTACTTACTTTCGCTACTATATAAATCCCTCCCCAATTTTCCCTTTGGACAGACCTTTAATCGCCGTAAGAACTATCCCTTCACTCTCACTTATTCGATACTATCCTGAAATTAAGCTCTTGGCCAGCTGAAAGCCAAGGCCACCGTATTCTGTTGACCTTCTCCAGTGCAAGCACTTCTCGGGGTCCATTTCGCGGCTCTTTTGAACTCTGAAGCACTGAGGTTTGGGGTCTTTCGTCACTCACCTGCAATTGCTGCTGTTTTTGAGATTTTGAATTTATTTTTTTATTCGTTTATTTGCAACTGGTTAGTGCCCTGTACCCTCGTAACTCTACTTCTTTTGTTTGTGCTATGTGCACTAGTGTTATTTGGATTTCTCTGAGTTAATTTTGATATTATGCCACTTCGTATGCAATTCTGCTTGTTCTAGCACCACTCTGTAGTTTCACTTGCTTCAATTCGTGCAAGTTTTGATGTTAAATCACATAAGGATAGCTAAATTGATTCATGATGACTGCCTTGCTTTGCCAAAACCCTTTTGAGACTATGTTCTTGCTCAAATTTCTCTCTTTATGTTGAATCCCCTATGTATAATTTGCTATTTCTCTGCAAGTTTTGTGACAATACTGTCTACGTGCTTAGTTTAATATGTCAGCCTTAGTGGATGCTCATTATACGTGTCCAGTCTGATTAATTGCTCATCTTCATATTTAAGTGTAAACTAGTCTGCTGCTCATCATGACTTAGATCCTTTTAGGGGACTAATGCATGCCCAGAACTCATTGGAATGTGAATTTGCTAAGACTTTCATGTACAAACTGCTACTTCCTTGAAGTCACCCTGTGATTATATGAATTCTATATGCCTATACTGTTACCATTCCTAGGCAGACTTATTTCTTTGCTTTTATGTGCTCACTGATCGTTCAAGACTCCTAGGGTGTAATCCAACATATGTCTAGTCTATTTCATCTTTCTTCGTGTGATGACTGCTTGCCTTATGAATGCTCACCTGTTGGATGTAAAACCTTGTGTGGTGATTGGTATTTACCTTAACATTTCACATGTTAAACCTTGCAAATTAGTTGTTCTCATTAGGCTCTTATGTTGAAGTTTTCATGTTAAGTCTATATCTCACTAGTCTTGCCCATGACACTATTGGATTTCCATGTTCAAACCCCTGCTTAAGGGTCCTTAGGATAGTTCTGGACCAAGCTCGTTTCTGAAACGTAGTTTGAAATAATCCTACTGCTCTTAAACTCTGTTTCTGGTGTGATAAACATGAGCTTGCCTCATATGTGTCTTATATGTTTTTTTCCAATTTGAGCATGATCTTGCTTATAAGCCCTAATTAGAATAGTTTGCTAATTATAGTTGAAGATTAGTTCTGTTACTTGTGTGGCTGAACTTAGCATCCCTTAGCTTAATCAGTGGAATTGTTTGGGCCTGGTATGTTGGGCCTGCCTTTGTTCTTGAGGTTTCGAAGTATACTGTCTGCGCTTGGAGTTTGGGCCTGCTGTCTGCATGAAGTCCTAAACCTATTTGAAGACCCAAATATATTGTTGGGTTATCCTCTATTTGTATTTGGGCCTGTAATTACTTAAAGTGATCTGTAATAGCTTCTAAAATTGAATGATGGGGGAATTAATAAAAAGGGGAGATAGATATGTTTTATTCTTGCATAAAAGGGTAGAGAACATGTCTATAGGGTCTTTGTGCTCTATTTGTTGTTTTTGTTTAGCATGCTTTATTTCTGCACACTGATAGACATCATGCCTATAGGAGGCACACACTTCACTTAACTTGTCAAAATATGTTAGTTCCAGTATTTGCCACACCTGTTCCCATGTTTACTATTCAACACTCTTAGATATCATATCTATAGGGCGCTGCAATACAATATTTTTACTTACCTAGATACCATGCCTATAGGACATTGACGTCTGCCTAAGAAGCTTGTTTATAAAATCAGCACTAATAATCTGGTAATTCATATCGCTTCACTGCCTCATCGCGTAAACAATTAGAAATCATGCCTATAGGACTTATGTTGCTTGAACTGGCCTATATGTTGCAGTACTGTCTGGATAATATTAATCAAACTCACATAGGAACCATGCCTATAGGATTTAACAACCCAAAATATGTTTTAATTCTGAAATCGTCTACTGCATAACCAGAAATCTGCCCGCGTGCATTTGTTGTTATGTGTGGAAGCTAACTTGGGCCTTTAATTGTCTTTACGTGAAGTCCTATCTGTTTTGAATGTCACTTAGTTTTATCTTTTTTTGAGCAACCTAAGTAAAGTCTAGAACAACCCAAATAGTAGGTCAAAAGCCTCCTGGACCATAGGCATGGGACGGGTAGCGCACGCGTAGGGTACGACTTAGAACTGAATTAGAATGCTTTAAGTAAACAACTTCAACATAGTAATCGGGTAGCAGGAGATGATAATCTGTTCCCGCTGAATAATATGAGCAACCCCTACCTAAAGGGCGTTGTGAAGTATTATTTATGTTGCACGGGGTGATCCTTTAGGCTAAAAGACTTAGGACCCCCCCTTTCCTTCATATACTTGGCATTTACATTAAGTCATTTAACATAGACCAATGCATTTGTAATCATTTAGGATTTGTACCAATTCCCAATGTGTTATGATAAGACTCTTCGACTTCTATACTTCCCTTTGTTTATTTGATCACCTAGCCTAATCACGTAATCCACATAGTTTAAATTTCGGTCGGGACCCATAGTTGTGGACCTCGAAGAGTACCTAACACCTTCTCTTTGAGATAATTTGAGTCCTTACCCGATCTTTGATGACACAGACTAGTCAAAATAGAGTTACTTGTAAATAGGTGCCCTAACGCACCTTAAACCGTTAGGTGGCGACTCTTCTCTTTTAACACCTCCTTTTAAAGAGTTGTCACACGTCGAAACCCGCTTTCGCGAGAAAATGAGGTGCGACAGCATGTCGACTCTACTGGGGATTACACTTAGGCTCTTACCATAATGAACTTGACTTATATGGATTTCTCTCTTTTTCTTTATTTGTTCTAAAACTGCTGCTACATGCACATACCTTCCCTTCTTCACCTTTATTTGCTTGAATTTGCTATGACATGCACATCCTTTCCCCTATTCGCCTTTATCTGTTTACATGTGCTATGACATGCACATCCCTTCCCCATTCACCTTTATAACCACCCTTCTTCTCTTTCCATCGTGTCTAAAACCTCTATATCATGTCTTTACCATCCCTACTCCCTACTTTATTACATTCTCGCATATATTTTTATGAACTTAACTGACTTCTTCCTTTTGTCTTTCTTCTCTATTCTTTCCATGTTTACTTTTTCTATCCTATTTACTACTTTCTATCATGCAAATATTTGGCAACGTGTTATTATCTCTGCATAAAGCATGCTTCACATCATACTCCACTCGTGCCAATTATCAACATAGCGGCGCTTGATGGGCGCCCGCACTCTTCCAAAAATTACCCTTTTTAAATTGGAAAGGCTTATTTGCGGTAGACTAGTCGATCAATAGTGCAATCGATAGCCCTGTTCCTTTCCCTCTCAAGTTGTCCACTTGGGAGTACCAATCTAGACCATTCTACAAACCCTACTCCAACTTGAAATGTACATGCATCATGCTACACCTAGTATGGGCTGGAGCATTATCAATGTAACAACCCGCTAAGATAAACCTTGTCCAAAGTCCGTCGGGATTTCCACAATCCCAATGGACACTATCATATTATGTGAATTACTTGGAGAAAATACGCCAACGTGTTGATCATTATTGCATAAGTAGTCAAATCTGGAGGGGGAAAGGGCTAACCTTTGTTGGTTTGCAGAAAATAAAGCATGAAGTCCCTGGGTTCGATATGGTCCAAAATATCGGTGGAAAGACCTTGTACCTTGCAACAAGAATCATATGAGAAGAGTATTGGGTGACCTTCCATCCTTGCTAAACATTCCACCAAATAGGGCACTGATTGAGGCCGCTACCATGTTCTGGGATGAGAAAAGCGCCATTTTTCGATTCGGCAATATAGAAATGACTCCTCTCCTAGAAGAAATGGGAGGGTTCGCTAAGTTTCTATGGGATAGTCCGGGATTACTGGTACCAGAGAATCACACTCCTCGCGGTTTTCTAAAGATGTTGGGTTTTAAGAAAAATGACGAGCCGCTCTGTTTAAAAAAGTCATACATCCCTTTTGAATTTCTTTATGAGCGTTATGGGCATAGCAAGTCATATCGTCTTCATCATGAGGAGCTTGCCATTACTTCCTTTGGTTGGATGCACCGCCGGGTTTATGTGTTCATCGTCTGCTTCTTGGGGTTGTTGATATTTCCAACGAAATAGGGAAGGATTCATACTCGCTTAGCCATGGTTGCCAGGACTTTGATGGAGGGCATCGAAGGACAAACTTATACTATCATCCCTATGATCTTAGCTGAGATGTACCGCGCTCTAGATCGGTGCAAGCATGGATTTGGACACTTTGAGGGTTATAATTTGCTACTACAGGTCTAGCTGCTGGAACACTTTCAGAGAGGAGAGTATCGTCAAGAGCTTCTACGACAGCTGTTGAATGACTACATAGCTTACCATCACCTAAAGAAAATGATGTTTATCCCAGACAGGTTTGCACAACCTGGAAATGCTGTAAGTTGGGTACGCTTCTTCAGCAATCTCACAGACGAACATGTACATTGGATGTTTGAGTGGTTTCCTAGCAGTGAGTTCATCATCAGGTCAAGAGAGACTACTCATCTGGTACTGATCAGGTTACGAGGCATCTATCCTTATGCTCCCATAAGGGTAATGAGGCAAGCGGGGAGAAAACAGGTCATACCTCAGGTTTCTAACATGGTCCAGTACATGGCAGACTTCAAAGGAGACGCCATTCCATTCAAGTTCGAGGCACAACATATGTGGAACCAAAAGGTCATTGTGGAAAAAGAAACCATTAAGCCAGACAGGTATCACGCCGGTCATATGTATTGCTATCTATCATGGTTGGAGGATGACGTAGCGGAAGACATCAAGAAAGGAATCAATCTGAAGGACAGAAATATAGATAAAGCAGCTGAGGCACAGGTTAAGTATATAAGGCTATGCAAAAGAGTGTTCGAGTCTGAAGCTAAACATGTGGAACAACACAAAGTGAACATGGAAGTGATAAATGAATGGATGGATATTGCCACTAATTCAACAGAAAGATTGGAATACTTGGAACAAGGATTGATGAAGCTCGAGGGAAAGATGAGAAAGAGACTCTCAGATTGTCAAGGCACGGATGGTAGTGAAGGAGGACATCTAGCAAAATCTTACTTACTGTGCGCGATCTGGGAAACCTGATTGATGAGGTCAAAATAGCTAAGCACGGAGAAGGTCCTTCAGGGACCAAGTAGACTAGGATATGATGTTCTTTACAGTTTTCTAGCTTAGCTTTAGATTTCGATTGTAATAAGGATAAATGTCATTAGTAATTTTTATTATTGTCGATTTAGTAAGGGTTTGACTCATTTTTGGCATTAATGAAATGACGCAAATATTGGTATCAATTTTCTCCAAGTCTATGTGTCGCTTAGGCCTACCTCGGGCACAATGAAGTCCCCAAATTAGGACGCGAATTATTGCATGACTTTGTGAAACATGTTTTAATATCGCAAACACTCTTTTAATATTCCTTACTAACTTGGTTACCTTTTTCTTTTTCTTTTCTTTTGATTATTCCTATTCCTAAAGGTTGGTTCGTGCATACTGGCATCGTCAGCATATCACACTAGATCCAGAGGTCCTCCACCTCCTCCTCCACCAAGCGATCTTCATTTTCCCTATGATCAGAAACTAGGGCAAGATCTCGAGTTTGTCTGATTTCATTACGTTTGGAGCAACCGAAGAATGTGTTGCCAGAAGTATGCATTTAGACTGGGGAAGAATTTTGAGGAGGATCCTCAAAATCCCGAGTCAAGGAGGTTTCAATGTCTCAAAAGCATGTCACAGTCATCAATTCAACAAATCATCTTCTCTCATGCATTATCACATATTTCAAACAACTACATTTTTATAAGCAATTCATCACAAATGCATGTTTTTCGAAAATTTTATAGCAGACAGACGTTACCCAGGGTGACTCAAGCAGGACCTCATGACAGGAGTAAAGGCGAAGCAAGGAATCAATAGCAAGAACCAACCGCCCCCCGCAAACCTCATGATTTTTCTTTGGATGCAGGCACAATGAACACAACAGGAATTTTCACATATACATACATACAACAAAATCACTATCTTCATAACGACAAAGTTGCCAAACGCAAACACATCAAGCTAAGAATTACTTTACTCTATCGCATCTATTCATTGCTCTTCTTGCATGAGACTAAGCACTATCTCCATTCCGTGCATAAGGCTAAGCATTGCCTTTCTTCGCATGAGACCAAACACTGTCTCCATTCCTTGCATGAGGCTAAGCATTGCCTTCATTATTGCATAAGGCTAAGTATTTCCTTTTCTTGCTAGAGACTAAGCATTGTCTCCACTCCTTGCATAAGGTTTAGCATTGCCTCCATTATTGCATAAGACTAAGCATTGCCTTTCCTTGCCAGAGACTAAGCATTGTCTCCACTCCTTGCATGAGGCTAATCATTGCCTCCATTATTGCATAATGATAAGCATTGCCTTTCCTTGCCAGAGACTAAGCATTGTATCCATTCCTTGCATGAGGCTATGCATTGCCTCCATTATTGCATAAGGCTAAGCATTGCCTTTCCTCGCCAGAGACTAAGCACTGTCTCCTTTACTTGCATGGGACTAAGCATTGTCTCCACCTATTACATAGGGCTAAACACTGCCCTCACCATTGCATAAGGCTAAACATTACCTCTCCTTGCATGTGACTAAGCATTGTCTCTACTCCTTGCATAGGGCTAGGCACTGCCCTCACCGTGCATAAGGCTAAACATTGCCTTCCTTTGAGAACTAAGCACTGTCTCCATTCCTTGCATGAGGCTAAGCATTGCCTCCATTATTGCATGAGGCTAAACATTGCCTCTCTTTGCATGAGACTAAACACTCTCTCCACTATACTGCATAAGGTTAAGCACTATCTCCCTTCTTCGTATAGGGGTAAGCATTGCTCTCATCTCATACAAGACTAAGCCTTGTCTTGTCTCGTCCTCGCATATGACTAAGCATCACCTATTTCCTCTATAAAATGATTGACATCGCCATATCTTTGCATTTCATGGGCTGAAACGTCGCCACATTATCCAAAGGCATCATAGTCCGAAGGCACCATCCTCATGGCCTCAAGACACCATTCCATGGCCTGAGGATCTCTCGAAACTGCACATCATCATTCAAAGGCATCATAGTCCAGAGGCACCATCCTCATGGCCCGAGGACACCATTTCATGGCATGCAAATCCCTTATCATATGCTTCATGGACCAGTATGTCATGGTCTAAGGACATCATCCTCATCGTCCGAAGACAACCTTCATGGTTCGAACTGAATTTGCATCATGTTTAAATTTTTGCAATAACCCATATATATTCGCATGCACCGTGATTTGAGTGTTGCAGGTAACTCGGGAGGTAACCGTTCTGTAAACAGGAGAAATCTTCGCTCCGATTTCCGTTCACAATGTTCACATCCTTTGACTACCTCAAACGTAACCGACTACTAGTAATTGACTACTTTTTTACTCTATGACCATTCAAATATCTGCCTTGTGATACACCCGTAACGTTCATTTCGCATTCATGACTCCACCTAAATTTGTCCGTTACTTACAACACTATCCTACCCAAAAAGAACCCTTTTGAAACATATCCAGAACTACATACGACCTGATTCCTGTAAAATCAGGGATATGTAGGTAACTCAAGAACCAGGGTTCGGCCCCCACTTTTTCAAAATACATCATTCCTCACTCACTTCGGACAAAATTGGTCATCATTTTCTTTATCCAACAACTCTTTCATCCTTCCCGGATAAAGATAGGTAGCTGTTAATACCCAATTTTGCCCTCATATTTTATCAATAGTATATATACTTTCAAAATAGCATTTTACATAATTATTTAATTTATACGAGTCGTATAAGTATTTTCTATAATTTTTTATAATATTTTAAATCTTTAAAATTGATTTTCCAGTATTTAAATTATTCAAATATTTATTAATTATCCCTTCAAATTACTTTGTGATGACTTAATCATCCAAAATTATTATTTACATCCACATATATGTTTCATAATATTTTTACTCCATTTATGTAGTTTTATTTGTATTTTTTGTCTATTTACATAATTTTGCAATAATGGCCTATACGCTATGTATAATTACATTTATTACATCATTCATGTTAAATAGCATTTTTATATTTTTATAATATTAAGTTATTATTTTTAATCATTTTATTACATAAGTAATATTTTATTATCAATTAAATAGTTTTATAAATTATTTTTATTAATAATTTCTTGTGTAGCCTCAATTATACCAATTTTGGACCACATTAGTGGCCCAAACTCTTAAAATCCCTGGCCCAATTTCCCCAGCCCATGCCAAACGACCCCTTAATCTCAAACCCGGTCGGTACCCATTTAAACGACTAGCCCCACTCCCTTTTCGATCCTGGCCGTTGATCTCAAATGATCAACGTCCATAGTAATCCCCCCACATCTCCTTATATCCCCATAACCCAAACCCTAGACCTATTTCATCATTTTTTTCCGCCTTCAAACCCTCCCCATCATCTCTCAAACCTAAACCCTAGCTGCCTCACTCAAATCCCAGTCCCAATCCAATATTACATGGAAATCGTCCATGATTCCTTTCCTTTCTTGCACACATAGAGATGCCTACCATCTTTTAAATGTTACAAGTATTTGGTACTCGATTATTTATGGAAGCTGAGTCGTTGGTGTTCGCTCAACTCTGATTCTGTATTATCTTCATGTTTCTGACCTGATACACTCACTACCAGGCCCTATATGTCTGATTCAGTAAGATTTTTTGCCATTTTTGTTCTTCATCTAAACTAAGGTTTGCCAGATTCGTCTTAAATTGATTCTAATTGATTTTCCATGTTATGTTTTCCTTATTCGTGTTTAATCGATTGTTTTTCCTTGTTTGGGTACTTACTTTCGCTACTATATAAATCCCTCCCCAATTTTCCCTTTGGACAGACCTTTAATCGCCGTAAGAACTATCCCTTCACTCTCACTTATTCGATACTATCCTGAAATTAAGCTCTTGGCCAGCTGAAAGCCAAGGCCACCGTATTCTGTTGACCTTCTCCAGTGCAAGCACTTCTCGGGGTCCATTTCGCGGCTCTTTTGAACTCTGAAGCACTGAGGTTTGGGGTCTTTCGTCACTCACCTGCAATTGCTGCTGTTTTTGAGATTTTGAATTTATTTTTTTATTCGTTTATTTGCAACTGGTTAGTGCCCTGTACCCTCGTAACTCTACTTCTTTTGTTTGTGCTATGTGCACTAGTGTTATTTGGATTTCTCTGAGTTAATTTTGATATTATGCCACTTCGTATGCAATTCTGCTTGTTCTAGCACCACTCTGTAGTTTCACTTGCTTCAATTCGTGCAAGTTTTGATGTTAACTCACATAAGGATAGCTAAATTGATTCATGATGACTGCCTTGCTTTGCCAAAACCCTTTTGAGACTATGTTCTTGCTCAAATTGCTCTCTTTATGTTGAATCCCCTATGTATAATTTGCTATTTCTCTGCAAGTTTTGTGACAATACTGTCTACGTGCTTAATTTAATATGTCAGCCTTAGTGCATGCTCATTATAAATGTCCAGTCTGATTAATTGCTCATCTTTATGTTTAAGTGTAAACTGGTCTGCTGCTCATCATGACTTAGATCCTTTTAGGGGACTAATGCATGCCCAGAGCTCATTGGAATGTGAATTTGCTAAGACTTTCATGTACAAACTGCTACTTCCTTGAAGTCACCCTGTGATTATATGAATTCTATATGCCTATACTGTTACCATTCCTAGGCAGACTTGTTTCTTTGCTTTTGTGTGCTCACTGATCGTTCAAGACTCCTAGGGTGCAATCCAACATATGTCTAGTCTATTTCATCTTTTTTCGTGTGATGCATGCTTGCCTTATGAATGCTCACCTGTTAGATGTAAAACCTTGTGTGGTGATTGGTATTTAGCTAAATATTTCACATGTTAAACCCTGTAAATTAGTTGTTCTCATTAGGCTCTTATGTTGAAGTTCCCATGTTAAGTCTATATTTCACTAGTCTTGCCCATGACACTGTTAGATATCCATGTTCAAACCCCTGCTTAAGGCTCCTTAGGATAGTTCTGGACCAGGATGGTTTCTGAAACTTAGTTTGAAATGATCCTATTGCTCTTAAACTCTGGTTCTGGTGTGATAAACATGAGCTTGCCTCATATGTTTTTTCCAATTTGAGCATGATCTTGCTTATGAGCCCTGATTAGAATAGTTTGCTAATTATAGTTTAAGATTAGTTCTGTTGCT